AATCTAACTAAACAAATGCATGTCATATTGAATAGTTTGTATTGGGTAAAATGGAAGGATCAATGTGAGATTCTACTTCGAAGAGACTAATACTGATGTCAGGAGATATTGAACAAAACCCAGGACCTTACACAGGGTAATGCATTGCAACTTGTTTCTCAAATTCACTCAATAATTTTAATGCAATCTAGATTAGCTGAACTTGGTTTGCAATCAATGGATGTTGGTGGTGCAGGTGATTGTTTTTTTAGATCAGTATCACATCAATTATATATGGAAATTGCAACTATCATATGAATATTCGTGCTGTTGGAGTACAATATATGACAGATCATCCAGAAAGATATATTGAAAGTAACACTCAAAGTTCTTGGCTTAGATATTTGCATAATATGTACATGGTACATGGGCTGATGTACTTATTGTCCAAGCAGTTGCTGATCGATGCAGTAAATGTTACCATTCACATAACAGAATCACATCCAGGCTTTGCACCATTAACTGTTTTCACGCCAATACAAAGAGAAAATATCACTGCAATGTCCACAATGAACATTGGCCATCTAGATACTCATCATTAATCTTCATTTTAATTGTTGAAAAGATCTCAGAACAACAGGTTATTAATACATACAAAAATAGAATTACAAATTATGCCTATAGTTCCCAGTTGAGTTCATTAATTATTTGTTACTGTTTAAATCTCTACTACATTATACACACTTTTGCAAAAATTATCATTTGATCAGCAATATATGCATCTATACAAACTATTCAGCAAGAGGAGAAATTATGATCTCATTTTCATAGATCTATTATAAGTTTATACTGCAGAAAGAAAATTCTGTACATATATAGTTCTTATTCACTGATTTCAGAAAATTTATCTTTTGTTATTCTCAATCACAACATTTAAAATAAAAACCTAACTACAAAATAGCAGCGTGTAAAATTGGTGTAATATTAACACAATTTTGAGTTCAACGAATCAATAATTTAATTCCTATAGCTAGGCCAATCAATATTCATCCACCTTTTTCAATTTGCTTTTCCAATTCCGTACGTTGTCAAACCATTTTAAGTTAAAATAAAAGCATGCACACCGTGTTTTCTTTACTTAAAATATGTCCAGTCTTATGACGTAGACCGTGAGCCAAATGAATACCACAAAATAATTCAGCGTCAATAAACCAAAACCATGTAAGGCACGAGTTAACCCTGCATACAGGGTCTAGTTAGCTATATAATCTCTCTAAAAAGTGGAGTTTTAAAAACCGCTTGACGCAAAAAGTATTCCATATGAGAAGCTCAAATTACGAGGAAACCTTATTGCCATGTTGCTGTTTCAAGTATTCAGTTGAGTGCTGACTTAATAATAGTTAGGTTAAATAAAAACGTTTTATCGTTTTTTTTCTATGCACGATCGAAATGCATCATGGGAAGACGGAAAATTTGGACAAAAATCGTGCAGAGCAATCGTGTGAGCTCCCCCGCACCTACAGGCAAAATACCGGGCCAATTGCATTCTTTGGTTATCAAATATTGCCAAAATTAACTTGGTAGGTTGGAAAATCTGCCACAGATGGACCAGGAAAGCGATCTYACAATGATGTCTCCAGTTCAAAACAAACCGTGAATTGGAGCCATTGTCTTCAAAAAATCGCTTTCCACCTCTGATTTCTTCCAGAAGATTGTCTCTGCCGACTAGTCAAGCTTAATGATGTAAGCCTAGGGGCTCCTGTGGCAGCAAAAAGCTCAACAAAACACTAATAAACGGGTTTTTAGGTAAACAAACGGTCTGATCTAAATTTACAAAACCTTGCATAAATTAATGCTCCCTAGGGAATTCAAATCCGAAATAGTTTTGTTGACAGCACCTTATATGGAAGTCAATTATTTTATCAAGATGTTAGGGTCGAAAAAGCTCAAAAATCTACACATCCGTCGACAATGAGTTAAAATAATTTCTTGTCAACTTGATGAGAGTGCAAATGAAATGTTCTCTCTAGATATTACATATAAATTACATGTTTTCGCTAAACAATAACAAACAATGAGAAAATGCCACA